ATTCATAACTATAAGTTATGATGCAAGGGGGAATGACTGGTAGGTGAGATCCACTCACTGTACAAAAGTGACAGAAGTATAAGATCAGCACTAGCCAAACAATAAAAAAGAAAAATCAAGATGCATACATTTGAAGAAATTGCTTCCAAATTTATATTCTTAACGTTATACTCAGTTTCAAGCTCACTTATATACAACTGTCTAAATACACTCTCATCTGGATATTCAATTTTCTCCCCAAGCTTAGCATTATCTAAACCTGTTTTTCCCTCTATATTGCCCCTCTCATTTGTGAGTACTGCACTGACAGTTGGGTAAACCAAAATCTGAAGTCATACTGCTTCTCCCTTCCCTTGCCCTTTGTCCGCAAACCCCACCAGCCAACTATGCCAGCTAAATCTGCCACTGCCTTGCAACTGCTGTACATCACACACTCCTTTCCTCCTGTCCCCTCCAATTCATACCCCACAATTTTAGTGATTAATCAAGCATTAGTGAAGTCAAGTGACTTGCTTAAAGACTACTCAATGGCCCCCACTGACTAACCAGAAAGAGCTGGTACAGCTTTCAAGACTTTTCATTGTAGAGCACTTGCCTAAGTGTAAGATGCTGGGTTCAATCCCTAGGACCATCAAAAACAGTAAAAATCAAAATCTGTTCATTCCCTGATGCCCAGAATACCTGCTCTTCAGAAGACAGCAACTAATAAAATATTTAAAGTTTTCTGAAAACTAGGGCTACAAAATCTATGTTGGGTTAGTGATACATGAGGTCATAAGGTGGGGCAAAACGGTGGTCCAGCCCTTGCCTCTTGGTCCTCTTTTGTCCATTCACTTCTGTGCCCCTTTCAAAGCTGGCCTCAAATTCACTTGATAGCTGAGGCTATCCCTGAATTCCTGATCTTCCTGTCTCTGCCTCTGAACTTCTGGAATTATAGGCCTCAGCCACCAAGGCTAACCTAAGCTAAATAAGACCCTGTCTCAAATAACAACAACAAAAAATTAGTTAGATGTTTTATGTTAGGTGAAGAAGCAGGATAGAAACTATGTATTCTTTATGGTTATATAAGAATATAGATTCTGTAATCTAGTGAAATTATGACTTTGCCTCTTCATAGATTTGTGACAGTATTACAAGAATGGGTGCTGGGTTTCTCAACTGAAAAGTTGGAATGATAAACAACACCTTCCTCATATAGTTAAAGAAATGAGCTATAGGGCTGGAGAGATGGCTCAGCAGTTAAGAACACTGGTTGTTCTTGTAGAAGACCCAGGTTCGAATCCCAGCACCTACATGGCAGCTAACAACTGTTCTTAACTCCAGCCCTAGGGGATCCGACAGCCTCTTCTGACCTCCGCGGGCACTGCACAACACGGGTGCACTTACCTACATGCAGGCAATACAT